AGGAAAAATCTGTTTCTGCCCTGAAGCGTATACTATTATTAACCGATTTTCACAAAAACATGATATTAATAAGATACTCATTAAGTAGCTTATACATCAATCCGACTAAACATTTGAAAAATTCAATTATGGCGGGTGATGTGTGTCAAAATTCAATAACACATTTGGCAATGATATATAACGTAACATTTTGCTACAATAATAACACATTTGGCAACGATAAAGTAACCTTTTGCTACAATTTTGTGGCGGTTACAAGACATTTATTAACAATAACAAAACATTCAATGACAAAGTATTATTTTGCAACAACATAAACGTATCGTTTTAATATTTGCCAACAATCGTACATTTGGCAAGTACAATCCCGTGATGCAGTTGGGCACTAGCCCCGATGGCGCGAAAACGGTGCTTAAATGGCGCGTAATTATTTTCACACAAAATGGCGATCAAGATATCGAAGAAAACGGAGTACGAACTGCTCTTATAACGCGATTGGAAATGTTATTGACTGATGTAACGGAATGCCTTTCAACAGAGCTTGATGATGTTATTGATCGTATTCGCGATTTTTCTGAAGACCTTTATCGATGCCTAGCAAATCTGACAGCACGAAATCCCGAAATTTAAAGCGAATTGCTACATCAGGCCAGACTTCTCGTAGATGTCATACAACGTCCTATTTTGAATAATGAAAATTACGGAAACATTGGGAATCATCCTAAGGTCAATGCCAGGTAGACCAAAATTTGAAATTTTGAGAGACCAGCTGCAGTATTCACAGATGTATTTTGTGGTGAATTGGCCACACCATCCAGTAGCTGTACAATTATATATCTAGCCTGTAGTAGAGATGACTGAATATCATCTGACGCCGAAGCTTGTCTCATTTTCCGCCATGTTGACTTAAAAAAGCACATATAATCCAATATCGCGAAAATAATTACGCGCCATTTATCACCGTTTTCGCCCCATTTGGAGCTAGTGCCCAATTGCATCACGGGATTGTACTTGCCAAATGTACGATTGTTGGCAAATATTAAAACGATACGTTTATGTTGTTGCAAAATAATACTTTGTCATTGAATGTTTTGTTATTGTTAATGAATGTCATGTAACCGCCACAAAATTGTAGCAAAAGGTTACTTTATCGTTGCCAAATGTGTTATTATTGTAGCAAAATGTTACGTTATCATTTCCAAATGTGTTATTGAATTTTGACACACATCACCCGCCATATTCAATTTGGCATGCCTTGGATCACTAACTATGGATCACTTTATAATCAATCACATGTAAATAGAACGTTACATCATAGGAGAAATATATGAACGAATTTCAATGAAAAGATCCTTAAAGGTGATGTAAAGTCCGTATTGTAAACGAACGCTTTGTTTACATTTTGAACTCAGTGCTACAGTTGTAAAATATGATTAGATATATATTATACTGAATTTTTAACACTCTTCCGGTTCGCTATGCTTGTAAATGAATGCAGACTAGAGATTCAATTCAAGAAAGTTCGGAAGGTGCGAAATATTAACAACATTCCAAAGGTTGCTCCCCCACTGATGGAATGTGTTGATGCACAGAATATATGCGCAGAACGGACTTTACAGCATCTTTTAAACACACAATACAAAGCCCCGGGCTCGGTTAAACGAGGGTAGGAGTTAATACAAGTTGCAACCACTAATCTAAAAATACTTAACCGGTTGCAACTCTCGTTTGGACATTCATGCACTCTCGTCAACTTTGAACTGGTTCAAATTTTGATAACAGTTAACCGGTAATATCCAGTCAACTCCCGTGAACTCTCATGCAACTCGAGCAGTCGAGGATACCTATTTATCAAGCCAGGATTGAGCCAGGACTCGAGCCAAAAATGACGTCAGGTGATTTTGACGGATGAAAATTTATCGACAGCGCTCTCACTTTTAAAGGAATTTCTTTAAACTCGGGAAATTTAGACTATTCGTTCACCAACAATGCGAAATGTAAATTTAACTGAATCTGAGGAATTGTTTGGCAAATGGGAAGTGAGAGAACTTAAATTGTTTACCAAATCAATTTCCCGCCTTTTTCCACCAGAGTCGATAAAAGAACTAGAACGTACGTTTATATTTGGTATATTTGTACATACAGATCTATCAATCTCATCTGACTTGGGCTATAACTGTAACAGTAACGGTTATCAGCGTCGGAAGACATTGAGTTAAACAATAGTCAATACCATTGTTGTTGTTTGTGTTTCGGATATATCGAACAAATATCGATATCCAAAATAGGGAATATCCGCGGTCAGTATTTTATCGAACTAAAGCAGTTGGTATTGCCCATCACCAGCAGTCTCTCGCTCTTTACAAAACAGATACTTGTTGCCGCTCATTTGTTGCCACTTAGCATTCACCAAAGAGTAAGATAATTCTCCCCTGCGCTATTTCCTGTAACTGTAATAGATGCCAATATCACCAAATTAACTGTATTACCAAATTTAATTAATCCAGAGTTTGTTTTCTAGTAGTAGAACATTTAGCTAGCCGCTACGGCGTGCGTAACGTGTCTTATGAAATAAAAACGCTGAGTAATGGCAAGTCCCCGTATTTTCGCATTTTCTTGATCGAGTCCTTGACGAGTCCTGGCTCGAGTCCTGACTCGAGTCCTGGCTCGAATCCTGACTCGAACAATAATATATCTCAAGAAGAGTTATGAAACTCTTCTTCTCGTTTGCATGGGCCACGAGGGTTAAGAAGACTCTCATGCAACTCAACAAGCTCACGCTCGCGTCAACTCTTATCCTCGTTAATTTGACCAAGGATTGACGTCATTAAACTTGTTTTAGGAAAACACGAGGAGATATGTGAGATATATGGGATTGGCGAAAGTATGCCAATTAAAATTAAATACTGTTGTTTCGAGAATTTTGTTTCACGTACACCACAGGGAAGGCGGAAATGAAAATATTTCAGTTCTTTGGTCCTGGAAAAAAGTTCTGTTAAAGTTTTACAAAAAGTTCTGTTAAAGTTTTACATGTGCATGATTTCACTCTTTTTAAGTATTGGATGAATATGTATTTGGGTGAATATTTTGGTGTTTTGTTATTCTTTTGACGCACAGTTTTTTTATGTACAGTACTCAGTTGTGCACCAAATGTACAACTACCGATCAATGTCACGACACTTTACCAAAAAGTAAGAACATATGGTCACCAAATTAATGTGTATTCATATTGTCTATTCCATGTTTATCTGTGTGGCTCATCTCAGATTTAGACGACTTATAGTCTTTGAGTTTGATATTGGGAGCATGAGCATGAATAGTTGTTTCGCTATGTCATCGTTTTTAAATATCAAAACTGACTGTAACTGTAAGACAGGATTTAAAACATTAAACATACTGCACATTATCAACGATTTCAATATAATCCCTTTCAAAATTGACACAATATACATCAGGATTATGGCAATAAAGCCATTTCTTTAAGAACCGACAACAATGATGTACTAAATCCGAAAACAAACACCTACGACAAACACGCAAAATATTTTAATACAATATTTTCGTTGTGTGTCAGTGTGTCACAAGTGAAGTAAATGTACATATACTTGATTTGAGTAATGTTGAATGTAGATAATATAAAATATTTGATATTTGATCATATGTTCAGGTGATTGCAACCAAATTCACCGACCAAGATTCCTAAATATCTGTTATAAGAAAGTCAAACAATCATAAATGACGTGTGCATTTGCGTGTTCTTATTTATATAGCTGGATGTGTATAGACTGAGTGATTAATGAGAAATACAGACGCTCATCAGCTATGTAATTCTCTTCATATTCGGTCATCGCGGTGGTAATTGTCAGAGTGGCTCTGACCTCTCTGTGGGTTGCAACCGTTGGAAACCGCTGTTTATTTTAGTTCGATTTAACATACATCTTCCTTATCATAATATGCAAAACCTTTTCATGTGAGCAAAAAACATTACATTATTTTGTTTAGTGTTTTAGTGTAGCTATATCATTGTTTTGTACCATGCAGATGTATCGAGAATTAATATGGATACATTCCATACACATACCAAGCTTGAGTAAGCCTGTTATAATACACGCAAAACGAAGTGACACCGCGATTAATTTTTTACTGGAACTAATTAATAGCATTTTGTTTGGTGAATTTGGGTGCAAAATGCAGGCTCGTGTTTCTTAATTTAATTAGCCAGCAGCCATAAAAACGCATCTATCAAAAACCTTCTGTCATGATTCATTGGACTGGCAACATCGACTACCTTTCCCGCAAAAGTCTCTTGCAGTCATTAATGACTAACGAGCTTTAATACCATGTCTAACTTTACATTTGAAGGGTTTTAGCGCAGAATGATTTTTATTCATATTCAACACACTCGTTAATTTGGCCATTGACTAATCAATTTAGGCTATTCACATATTAAGAGGACCAGGTTTTGTCGTGAATTATTGCATATAGATGGCTGAGATAGATAGAAGTACTTGATACTATCGCAATTAATACGCAACCACTATGACTATGTGTGTGCATGGAATGTCTGGTTAGCAAATCGCAAATTTTGGGTCTGGCCCTGTCAAGACGGAAGGAAGGTCGCGCTCAGAAAACAAAAGGAAAGCAGTTGTAACAACAAATAACTTCTACAGACCTACCTCGCATTCATTACAATGTTTTGACAAGGTATTCACATTTAGGCGCGCTCGTCGTGATGCGGCGATGCACAGTTTATTCTATAGCGCGATTAAACGCAGTGGTGACCGGCAAAGAAAAAACTTAAATCAATAGTCTTCGTGTGGGTTAAATTAATGAGTCAAATGTAAATTTATACATAATGCACATACAACAGACCAACAGCACTGACGCTCGTGCTGACAAAATTGCTAATGATGAACATTAAAGAGAGCATTAAGAGATAAGCGCGCAATTCCGTATTAATTTGACGCAACAGTTGTTTTGTGTATTTCGCGCAAGGATGCTTTCTAAAATTCGTCCTTGCCTGGAACTTCAACTATTTTTTTTACTACACAATATTTAAGCTACGGTGTACAGATAAATCCTACTTATAATTTATAAGCGGGTAACAGCAGTATATACATCAAATATAAGTATCTAGGATGTAATGTACATGCAATATCACATGTCTCAATAAGTCAAATCGAGTTTAAACGAGTAATTGCCCATAATACCTGGCTGTAATTGAGAGGTCTTTGCATTGCAGCAATTCAACAAAAGATTGTCGATTATTATAAGCAGTAATATCGAAACAGGCGAACAGACGTCGCTAATCCACATCTTCTTCTATATAAGCCTGAATAGAATAAAGACATAGCATACAATTTAGTAAAGAGTGTACTTTACATCAGCTCAATAATTGAACGTATATGGAGAAAGCCGAGTGGTAGATACAATTATCCAATATATAGTAATCCTGTTTGAACATTCTAAAGCAAAGATCTGGAATAACGAAATAAATACAACTGAGGTTATATTTGAAGGCCGTCAATATGTCTTTGATGGCCTATTAAATGTTTTGCTGTATGAGCGATCCTCATTCAAGAATATTCTACATAAGCATTCGTCCCTGGAACAGCGTCTATTAGTGCTCGTATTAAAACAGTAAATATTGAAGCATAAATATTTTAACAACCTATAGTCAACATACCAAATTCAATATCGATTTGCGTATGCTTGGTCTGACTTAAAAACACACAGCTGGTGTTTAATGCAAAAACCACAAACGTCGGTATATTGATGAATCTTGCTACCCCTTTTGTGAGCTAATTTTGCAACAATCACAGGAGGATCTCTGGGTTAAATGCAAGCCAAGTACGTGTTTCTTCCGAAGAGAGCGAGTGATTTGCCAAGTGGACTACGCGTATAGATGATCAATCGATCTGTCAACCACTCTTGTCTGCACAGTCTCTCATATTCCTTTCGCAGGAAATGAACTTTCAGGCGACAAGCTAGAAGAAAGCACGTGAAAACTGGATCCTATAGAACGGAACCATCGCGTGGCGTGACTTTAATCTACGGCTGCAAGCGTCGAGAGCTTCAAACAAATTCAAAACATTTGAAAAACAACACGGATAAAAGAGAAAATCAATTATTAGCCAGATTATCAGATCATTTTGTCTAGAATGCAACCTGATCTGATACATACAGATATTTTTCTCATTAAAAAGACTAAGAAAGAATCATTTCAGGAAGAGTTAAACTTATTAAAGGTTAGGGGATAAAATTACAAGAATGCGAAATAATATATAGAGCGTAATATGAATCAATACATGTAAATATGGGCGAACTTTTACCGAACATAATAAAATAGATAAATACCTTTACTTTGTTCATATATATTTCATGAATGTGTGGTCATTCGTCCGGCGGTAATATATTCAATAAAAATTTGATATAATTCCAATCACTGTGAATCAAGGTCAAAATACGCCAATATTTTACTTCATAATATTGTTTGTCAAAGAAAGATCCTGGGTACGAGGTTGATTGTTTGTATGTTTGTATCGAATTTAAAAATTCGGCGTAAGCAACAATTACGGTCGACAATATTTTTGCCAGTGGCGGACACTTTACGAAATATTGGGGGTTGCGAAATTTTCAACATGTATGCCAAAGGGGTTTCTGTGTCCGTTTAGAAAGGCTCTAAGATATGCGAATCTTTCAGAATGTGGGTCACTTGATGGATTAATTGTGATATTGGGTACCAGATTTTTATAGGTCTTTCGAAATATATATATATATATATATATATATATATATATATATATATATATATATATATATATATATATATATATATATATATATATATATATATATATCACTACTTTCTCTGAAAACGTTTGAACTTGTATCCTTTATTATTAAATGGTAACTATATTTTAATCTAATCTAAAGTCACTAGGGACCTTAAATAAAAGCCTTATGGTTTCTACAAGGTTCCTAGCCCTATGTAAATAGTTTCTATTTTACGATTTATTTGTATATATATATTAATATAATTTGGTCGAATAAAAAAAAAAAAATTATTGGGAGTGTCCGTCACTGATTCTTGCAATGTTCCATTTTTCCCTCCAAATCCATTTGACCACATTCCAGGTTTTCCTGACACGACCAGTAATGTAAACACCTATATGATAGCATTTCTACCCTACTCAAGTTTCACCACAGGTTTCACATGCAGAGTTCACTTATGACGTAAACCGCTAACGAGTCCAACTGTTTGCTATGTAATCAAAAATAAAATTGGATTATAGAGCAAAGAACGGGGCGTTATTCAGCCATTCAGGCGGGCATTCTGTTTAGAATGAAAAGTTCAACTCGGTTCAAACGCCATATACTTGGTTTTCATATTGCGTAATGTAATTATGTAAACAATGTAATTTTATAGAAGAGAGCAATTCAATAATCAGAATTGTTAACTGAGAACACGGGTTATGAATTTCAAACCTGTAAGGTGTCGAAAGAAAATTTAAGCGGATTTCCTTCTGTAGTTTTATTGATGGTAACTTAATACCTTCCTTTTCGGCTTTGTGTGGATCCATCCTGACACCTGACTGTATGGAAAGCCATAGCTGTCTTAAGTGATCAAACGTCATTTTGTTGGGTGCTTTTAACATTATACTCGGTTCTTTCGGCATTATTTGCGGTGCTTTCGCCATTATACGCGGTGGTTCAAGCATTACACGCGGTGGTTCTAGCATTATACGCGGTGGTTCTAGCATTATACGCGGTGATTTCAACATTATACGCGGTGCTTTCGCCATTATACGCGGTGCTTTCGCCATTATACGCGGTGCTTTCGCCATTATACGCGGTGCTTTCACCATTATACGCGGTGGTTCGAGCATTATACGCGGTGCTTTCACCATTATACACGGTACTTTCACCATTATACGCGGTGCTTCCAACATTATACGCGGTGCTTTCGTCATTATACGCAGTTAGCGTTACGCGCGGTGCTGTCACCATTATATGCG